CTTGTATACTATTAAAATATGGATTATTAGCTAAGATTTTATGCTATTCTAATTGATATAACGTAAACAAAAAGTAATTTAATAAAATTTTGAATGAAAGACACTAAAACCTTGTGTCATGCACAGTAACGGATACCCGGGGCAATAGGGTTAAACATTTTAAATTTCAAAAACTTGTATTATTCCTTCAATGTTTTTATGTTTATTCAATACAGTTATAAGACTACTTCACCGCTATGGATTACAAAGAGTAAAACCATGCTTGTTTTATTGTTCCTATTGATTTTTCCATCCAATTAAAGCAACTGGTTATGACAGTGGAAGTCACGTGACGCTGGTAACACTTAATGAGTTTTAGAAAGATTGGGGAACATCACAAATAATCCAGTATTTGCTAGGCACCCTCTATTCTTGTATATAAGTGCACCAGACAATTAATCGGGATTGAATTGTAGACAGGCAGAGATAGAGACAGACAATTGAGTCAAGCGTGGTAGTAAGTAAAGTGCATGAATCAATCGTTGTGAATTATAGTGTGTGTTTTAGTTAAAGTGACTGTGGAAATTAAGTGTATTGCAAAGTTGAATTGAGAAAGAATAAACTAGTTTTATTTAAGAAAAGACTTGTATTGCTGAAGTTTCTCGGAAAGAATTTCTACGAAAAATTAACAAACGAACACAGACGTAACAATATTGTAGATATCACAGGGTGCATAACTGGCAATTATTTCAGGGAATTACCCAGTCAACTGTTGAATTGCTTCGGTATATGGATGAAACTATATAGGGTATTTATTGTGCTCAACCACACATAATTGACAGTTTGCAATTAATAAAAATATTAATAGTTTGCTTTATGATGTGGTGTGTGTTAACAGATTGGGTTTTTGTGAAATCTTTATTATGTATTTAAATGGATATTAAAGAATATATTAGTTAAATTAGTGTTTGAATTCTTTTCAACTAGGGTTGACTTTCATAGCTTTCAGTAACTTTGATCAGTTTTATGTTGTTATATCAATGCTACAACAGACACCTATGAAACCTGAAAATGCACAAACCTCATGTACCAAATCAGGTTGCACCTTATTTATACCACATGGAGTACATTCGTTCTCCAGCATAAAAGCAATAGTATTGATTTGAACTGGTTATATATTTAGGCAACTGTCAACAAAGCTCTCTCAATATCCACAAAACAATTTTCTATATAACACTTTATTACAGAAATTAGGAAAATAAAGCCATATCACAAGCAGCCTGGCCATCTCTTCACTGCTGTCTTAGAGAATGTGCTTCCATTACTTTCTTTTCCACATTAGCTATACATTCTTCTCCCAACTCTTGGAAAATGGCTCTATAAGGCATATTTATATAAGGCATATTATATAAGGTATCTTGATTTTCAACCATAGAACGAGATATGTAATAGAATCAGCATTGATAGCATCTCTACATGATTACACAGTAAACTATGGCAACTGAAATTGCTCATTTGCTTATATAAGTCTTTCACACTGCTTTTAGAATGTTTTTGAAATTTCCACAACACTAAGGAAATTGAGCTCTATAACTTTCTTGCACACTTCATGAATAGGCCTAAAACAATATGGTGTTTAAATGGAACCCAGATAGTATAAGCAAGTTCAAACAAGAATTGCATGGGGTTAGAACAATATGGATTTGTGGTTACAAAGGATTATAATGAGAAGAAACATACTTGTGTCATACCTGCTATGGCTCAACCTGTGCTAATTAAAAGAAACTTGAAATGTAGTGGAATGCAAATACATTCCACGTAGTAAACATAGATTTAACTACCACTGTACAATACTACATAACTTGATGGCAAAACTAAACCAAGAGCATAATTTCTGAACACCTCCTACATATAAATGATACTTACCGTGTCTGGATTCTTCATCTTTTTCCTTTTCATCTGGTTCAATATCCTCTAAATGTAAAGGCCATAAGTCAATAACTAGCATAAAAATGAATTCACACTTAAATGATCCTCAAATCCAATAACCTCTTCCTGTTAGATCATATAAGTTTCAAATTTTTAAAAACAATAAAAATATTTTTTTAAACAACTTATGTTCAAAAAGAAAATACAGTAAAATTCCTTTTCATAAGGTGTCATATAAACATAAGAATTTTAATTTAAAAGCAACAATACAGTACATACGTTAGACAATAAAATTTCAGATCCAGGGCATCAAGACAGTAGATAAGTTATACAGTAGAATTTCAAATCCAGGGCAACAAGACAGTACACAAGCTAAGCAAAAAAAATTTAAATCCAGGTCATCAAGACCATACACATATTAGACAGTAATGTTAACATTTTTCTTACACTGAAAATGTATTTCCAATAAGCACTTACCTCAAACAAAGCTATCTTTTATAAATATCTGCTACCGGCACTTGTGTTTAAAATTTTTTTGCTAAAATTATAATAAATAGTTAATTAAAAACAACGTTTTATATTTACACAATAAAAACTTTTATTGAAGCCGTACGGCTTCCACTTTAAAATCTCTACAGGTACATGTTTCAATGTGATCTGTATCTGGAATTATGAGGAGGACATGGAACAATTACACAACCGTAAGAACAGAACACGGACATTTTGTTCCCAAGGCAGACAAAGTCTCCCAAACTCAACTGTAGAAGCAGGTAAAGAACCTTCTGCAACTAGAATTAACAAGAAGAGAGACATCTATTACACTCCACCATAGGAATAGGGTGTTGTCATCCAGAACCTGGCATTATGGGGAGGATCTTGCATAGGCTGGACCTGCTACAACCGATTAATTTGTTATTATGTCCATTGCAGTCCACCTGGGAAAAAGCATTTGGGGGAAATGGAAGGAGAGAAACCAGCTTTGCCCTCTTCTCACTGAGTGGATAATCATGAGTTTGCACTGTAAAATATATTTCTAAATTCACTCAGAATGTGTAGAATTGGCATGGGAGGGAGACAATATCCATTAGAGGAAGATACAACCAGGTCATGTAGATAGTGAGGGAAGAAGTTATTGGGAGTAGTCCACATTTTGGCCTGAATGATCCAAGGACATAGTGATGTGATGAATCTGATGAAAATAAAATGTCAGGAATTTGAACCCCAAAAGGAGGCAGTATGTATCAAATATCACCTTAAGGAGAGAAACAGACAAAGAAGTTGATTAGGATCAAAATGAGAGTGCAGGTGGGAAATAGAAGGTAAGGAAATGGGTGGGAACACCAAACCACCTAAACTGGCAGCATCTTTGGAAAGATAGATGGGTCAGGATAAAGGATGACATAGGAGGAATGGTAAAGAATGTGGATAACATTAAGGACATAAATATCTGAACAACGACAGCTGCAAGCAAGGAGGAGAAGAAAATAGGTCTTGAGGGAGAGAAGGCAGATGGAACATGAAGACAAAGGTTTAAATAGTGGGCAAGAAAGGGCATAAAGGGCCACATTGAAGATCCCAATAGGCATTTCTAAGGAATGAAAAGGAGGAAAAGGACAAAGAAATACCATACCAGATGAAAACTGGACAAATGTAAGAATGTCAACAAGGTCACCAGATAGTTAGACACAGTCGAAGTGGACAAGCTTTTGTCAAACAACCAAGTGAAGAATAAGGAAAGATGAGAAACTGAAGGGTGGAAATGACAAAAACCATGGTAAAGAGACCAAAATTGGAAGATACACTATCATCCAGGGTAAATTGATGTAGAAGAAGGTCTAATGGATCGATAAAGGAAATATGTAACACACAGAGTCAGTCTCTGGGCTGAAACAATGAACCTAACAAAAGCCATGCATGAAGACAGAGTGGTGACATCAGTGGAATGAGGGACCACTCCATGAGGAGAATCTTGATGAGAGAAGATAACTGATCCACCCCCGGATTCAGAATGCCAAGATAATGGCATGCTAATACCAAAATGTGGTTACTGTAGACCCAGAAAGGAGATCCAGTATGTGAAAGCACAGAGACCTGGCATTGGTATTCCATGGCTTAGTGACATAAGTGACCACTGTGGAGATGTTGGAATGACAATAACCACCACACCCATAAGAAAGGAAGGAAGTGGGACAAAGCTTAACAACCTGCCAAAGGCTTGAGAAAGGTGATATGGACAAAAGACTCCTTGATCAACCAGAAATCAGAAATCTCCCAGGAGTCGAGGTAACAACCCCAAATCTCTAAAGATGAATTTGTGAACAAAGGTAAATCCAGACAAGGGAGGCTAAGCAGCACCCTTGCTGTGGTCTGGACTCTGTCTAACCACCAAGCCAGGGACCTGAGGAGAAGTTCCACTGATCAAGGAGTGTCTACCAAAGGGAACTCATATGAGCCCAACCATGGGAATGAGAGCTTCCAAGGCTAGAAACCACAGAGATGACTGCTATTTTTGCTACAACACTTGAAATAAAAAGGAAATTTCTTATCTGAACCTTCAATCTGCTATAAGACCTGTTGCTCATGGACCTGATGTACCAGTACCTACTTCACCGGAGACTCTTCATACAGTTTCATCTGATTCTGAACCTGATGTCAATATAAATGATGATAGCGATTGTTTTCAACCTGAAATGTCTGGTGAATCACAACTTTTCACACAAGGTGAACTTATTGATTTGGTGAGAGATTTGGGCCTTCCAAAGAATCCTTCAGAGATTTTTGGGTCCACACTTCTAGCTAAGAGCTTACTTTCTCCAGGGACATTGTTTTACTGGTACAGAAATCGTGAGAAAGAGTTTATACCATACTTTTCACAAGAAGATTCATTGGTTTATTGCAACAATATTGTTCCATTAATACCAATGCTAGAAACTGCAGTCTATGAACCAAGTGAGTGGCTATTGTTCATTGATTCCTCCAAAAGAAGTCTAAAAGGTGCTCTCCTTCACAATGGTAACATATATGCATCTGTTCCTATAGTTCATTCGGTTCACTTGAAGGAAACATACAAAAATCTTGAGCTTTTTGTTAATAAGGTCAAATACAATGAACATGGTTGGCTACTTTGTGGAGACTTACAAGTCTTTTGTACGTTGTTGGGTCAACAATCTGGTTATACAAAGTTTCCATGTTTTTTGTGTGGGACAGCAGAGCATGAAGTCAGCAGTGGATAAAGGAGCAATGGCCATGCACAGTCAGCCTGATACCAGGATCAAAATACATTGAAAGTGAAAGTTTGGTTGACACAAAGAAAGTCTTATTACCTCCACTTCACACAAAACTGGGCTTGATGAAGCAGTTTGTAAAGACCTAAGACAAAGATGGCGACTGTTTCAAGTATCTATGTGAGCAATTCCCAGCTCTTTCAGAAGTGAAACTTAAAGAAGGGATTTTTGTTGGGCCTCAGATTAGGAAATTGACTTTGGATGAACAGTTTGAAAGGACAATGAGGAAAGTTGAAAAAGAAGCATGGATTGCTTTTAAAGATGTTATTGTCAAATGTTTAGGAAACAACAAGGACCCAAAATGTTGTCAATAACATGCTCAATAAATTCAAAAAGTTGGGTTGTAATATGAGCTTTAACCAACATAATAATAAAAAATGTTCATTGTGGTAAATAAAATAATAATTTGATCTAAGTAAAAGTTTTTGTCTTCCTGATTTGTACAAAATCCTTACATGACAGAAAAAAATTAATATTACTTTTGAAATCTGTGTAGCTGAATTATGGATAATCCATTATTAAAGCCAAAACAACTTTTATGAAGTTTAAATTTGCAGGCCTGTGTAATCAATATCTAAATGACCAGTCATTGAAAGTAACCTAAATGACAAAGGACATATAACTGAGTCCAACACTGATAAAAATTAGGATGATAAGGCACATAGCTAACAATGCTGAAAAAAAATATTCAGATAGAACAATGAATTGTATCTTACTAGTAGTAATGCTACGTACCTAGTTAACAAAGTTAAATATGAAATGGACAAACCATCTAAATGTACCTAGTCCATAAAATATGTAATAATAACGAACATGCAAGCAATGAAAATTACCTTGAAAACACATTAATAATCAATATCTATCTTACTATTCCTCTAAATTAACCTGGACAACACGTGACACTTAATTAAGTCCTACACTGATGAAAATGGGGTTGAGAAGGCACATCGTTAACAATGACAAAACAAAAAAAATTACTCAAATAGATTATGAATTAGATGTTACTAGTAGTAATGATATATAACTGACACAGAATCTAAACATACCGAGGTAAAGTATTTTTTAATAGTAAATTAACATGGATGAAAGGGAGCTTATTAGTCCATCAAGGCTTTCCCTTCCAGCTCCCAACTATAACCACCCCTTGCTACTCATGTATTCATCCAATCTTTTCTTAAACTCCACCACCCTTGAACGTATCTCATTCCGAAAGCCAACCACCCTGTTTGAAAAGTAATACTGCCCAGTGGTGGGATTCAGCCGGTTCGGACCGATTCGTGCGAACCTGTTCTTAGAATTTAATTACCTCCACGAACTGGTTGTTAACAATCGTATGTATAGGCCTAATAATAACGTTACAACTTACAAGTACGCGTGTTTACAATGCAACTTTA